ACCGTCCAGGCCCTGCCCTCTGTACAGTTTCCTCACAAGTTCCTAGTACAGGTCACTGTCATTTGTGCCCAAGGGTCCCACCGGGCATCATTCACCCTGTGGATTTAACCACTGCAAAGCCGGCTCTGCCCCGTAGTCCCCTGGTCCCCGACAGAGTTCAGGACCAGGGGCAGCTCCCACCTTAGTGCCGTGACCAGCTCAGATCGGGGCAGAGGTCTGCAGCGGGGACTCTGCCACGTGCTCACCGTGCACTCGGCCAGCTCCTCCAGCTTCAGAGTGTAGGAAATGATATGAGATTTGGCAGAGTCCTCAGATGTCCAGCCAAAGAAGGTCACTGCCCACCCCTTCTCCCTGACATCCCTTTCCAGCCCCTCCATTCCTGGACCGGAGCTCCCCACTCCACACCCACAAAAGGGGCCAGTAAGTCCTGGCTCCTAAACAGAGTTTCTAGAAGCCCATGAGTGGGTCGTCAGCCTCCGGTGCCCTGCAGGGTCCAGAGAATCTGCTGACCATGCTGTCTCCATGATTACTGAGAAGATCTGGCATCAGCTCGGCCCCCAGCATCACCTCCCCCTTTTGAGCTTCAACCACACACCCACACACTCTGTCTCAGGGGTCTGCAAGCAGACCTGCTCACTGCATCCAGCATGTGGGCAACACTGCATCATCCACCATGGACAGAACAATGGCAACATGTGCGAGAGCATCCTTGTGAGCTCGGCAGGCTGAGTGTGCTCTCGGTCCCCTCATTCAGACCTCTCTGGGTACCAACCTCTTTTGAATGGTTGCCTTCCTGGCAGCATGCCCATCCCTGAAAGAAAGGATACCACCCCTTCCCCTCACTGCAAAGTGAAAGTTAAGTCGCTCAGTCGTGTCCCACTCTTTGCGACCCCGTGGACTGTAGCCCACCAGGCGCCTCTGTCCATGGGATTCTCCAGGCANATTCTCCAGGCAAGAGTACTGGAGTGGGTTGCCATTTCCTTCTCCAGGGGATCTTCCTGACCCAGGGACCGAACCCAGGTCTCCCACATTGCAGGCAGATGCTTTAAGCTCTGCGGCACCAGGGAAGCCCTGAGGCTGGCTCATCAAGAGCCAGCACTGGCTCCAACGACAATCACAGAGTCAGAGGCAATGCCAGGTTCAGAGGACGACCTGGCTCAAGCATGAGCTCCAGGGTTCGAGCCCAGGCCGGCCCCAGCTCCAGAGCTACCGGCAGTTCTAGCACTACCATCAGGGCTGGAAACAGCGCCAGCATCAGCTCTAGCACCAAAACTAGAGGTAGAAAAATCTCAAATGCCAGTCTGATCACGCAGGACAGAGAGAGAGGCAGTTTTATTACCAGCTCCTGTGGAAACTCCAATGATAGTCCTAGCACCAGGCCTAGACTTAGAACCAGCTCAAATCAGAGTCCGGTCCAGAACCAGCTCTAGCACTCCTTCCACGCTAAGGCGTGTGCAGTCCCCAGAGCCAACAGCAGCTGCAACAAGAGTTTGAGCTCCCACACCAAAGCTGGGAGGAGCTCCAGCCTCCCGTCACCATCATCCGGGAGACAGGGTGGCTCTGTCACCAACGCTGGAGTCAGCCCATCCCCAGCTCCAGAGCCAGAGCCTGCTCCAGCAGCAATTCCAGAGACAGAGCCAGTGCAAGTCTCAGGACTAGAATCAGCCCCAGATCTAGCTCTCGCCCACCTCCTGCCCCAGAGCCCGCTCTGGAGCCCCGTGCAGAGGTACGGCTGGTGCAGTCGACGCAGCCAAGAGTCAACAGCAGCACCAGCCCCGAGCTCAGCCTGTTCCTGCCACCAACCCACGAAGCCCCGAACCCGCCTCCAGTAGCTGCTCATGAAACCCAGCCGGTGTCACCTCCAGAACCAGTCTTCCTGTGAGGGTATCCTTTTTCTGCTTTCTTTATGGTTTCTTTATGGTGCTTTATGAGTTGACTTTCAAGTAAAAGTTCAACTTTTCAGACATATTTAACTGTACAGTTTGGTGGCATTAACATTTACTATGCTGTGCACCATCACCATTATCTGGTTCCATAATGCTTTCATCACCCCCAAAAGAAACCCTGCAGCCACCTAGCACTCACTTCCTGTTGCCCACTCCCCCATTCCATGGCACCCCCCACCCAGCAATATACAAGAATTCCAATTCATCAACATCCTCGCCATCTGTTATTTTCTGTTTACTGCATTATAGCTGTCCCAGCGGGTGTGAAGCAGCGTGTCCCTGTGGCGCTGGCCTGCATTTCTCTAATACCTGGTGATGCTGATCGCCCTTCCATGCGCTTCACAGGCCATTTGTGTATCTTCTTTGGAGGGATGTCTATTATTTGCAATGATGTTGTGTTTATACTCTTGTGTAAAAGTCCTTTATGTACTCTGGATACAAGACCTTTATAAGATTTATTATTTGCCAATATTTTATACCATTATTTGGGTCTTCTTTATATTCTTTTGAGATTGCCCTTTCATTCACAAAAGGTTTTCATTTTGATAAAGTCCAATTTTTCTGTTTTTTAATTTTGTCTCTTCTATAATTGCCATTTTATTAAATATCACATCAAGGGTATGATATTGTCAAACCCAAGGGTATGAGATTTATCCCTATGTTTTCTTCCAAGATGCTTCCATTTTAGGTCTTAAATTTAGGTCCTTGTTCCATAGTTAGTTTTCTTTGATGTGAGGTAAGGCTCCATCCTCATTCTGTGGCATGTGGGCATCTGGTTTCCCCAGACCATTTGCTGAAGAGACTGTTTTTCTTTTATGAATGATCTTGATATACAAGTTCAAAATCAATTGCCTGGATTTATTTCTTAATTCTACTGACATGAAAGAGTTAGTTGCCCTGTCATGTCCGATTCTTTGCAACCCCATGGATTGTAGCCTGCCAGGGTCTTCTGCCCACACCATTCTCCAGGCAATAATACTGGTGTGGGTTGCCATTCCTTATCCAGGGGATCTTCCTGACTCAGGGATCAAACCCGGACTCCCACAATGCAAGCAGATTTTATGCTGTCTAAGCAAGACATGTATCTATATATCTATTGATAGATGTCTTGCTAATTGCTTATCAGATTTCCATTACAATTTTGAAATTAAAAGCAAAATTGGGCATCACCGACTTACTCCCATCCTTAGGGAGAGAACTTTCAGCCTTTCTCCCCTGAGTGTGATGTACATGTTTTTCTCAAATATCCTAAATCACATGAAGGAAATGCTCTTCTATTTCAATTTTATTGAGAGCAGCTATTATTTTTAAAAAAAGGCTTGTGTTTCTTCAAAGTTTTAAATGCTTTTTCTACATCAATTGAGATGACCACGTGTTTTTATTGAGGTGGTGGTATGACACCGATTAACTTCTGAACAGCCCCATTCATTCCTGATAAGACAGCACTGGAGATGACTATACAGTCCTTTCAGTATGCTGCTGGGTTCTGTCTGCTAGCATTTCACTGAAGATTTTACATCTTTCTAATGGATTTTGGCCTGCAGATGTCTTTTCTTATGGCATCTCTCAGTTCAGTTCGGTCGCTCAGTCGTGTCTGACTCCTTGAGACCCCATGGACTGCAGCACACCAGGCTTCCCCGGCCATCACCAGCTCCTGGAGCTTTGCTCAAACTCACGTCCGTCAAGTCCATGTTGCCGTCCAACATCCCATCCTCTGTTGTCCCCTTTTCCTCCCGCCTTCGATCTTTCCCAGTATCAGGGTCTTTCCAATGTTCCAATGAACATTCAGGATTGATCTCCTTTAGGATGGACTGGTTGGATCTCCTTGCAGTCCAAAGGACTCTCAAGAGTCTTCTCCAACACCACAGTTCAGAAGCATCAATTCTTCAGTGCTCAGCTTTCTCTACGGTCCTACTCGCTTTACAGCATCTTTGGAGTTATGTTAATGTCATCACAAAATGAGTTTAAAAGTGTTTGCTTGTCTTGTACTTTTCGAAGAATTTAGGAAGGATCTGTTTTCTATCCTTAAGTATCTGAGACAAAACACCAGTGAAGGCATCAGGTTCTTTTTCCCTGTTGGGTTCTTATTACTGCTTCAGTTTGTTTACTTATAAGAGATCTACTCAGACTTTCCATTTCTTCTTGAGTCAGTTTTGCTAGCTTGTGTGTTTCTAGGATTTTATCCATTTCATTTAGGTTAAGCAACTTGTTGACATACAATTGTCCCATGTTGTCCATTTTTTAAATCTTTAAAACAAAGAACTCTTGTGTCATTGATTTTCTCGAGAGCGCCTCTGTCCTGTTTATCCGTGTTCTAAATTTCATTATTTGCTTTGTTCTGCGAACCTCGGGTTTATTTTGCTCTTCTTTGCCTGTCTAATCAAGGGCCTCGTCTCACCAGCCCCAGAAAACAGCCAGGGCCTCTCTCCAGATATGCGTCATTGGGTGGACAACAATCACAGACTGGAGTGGACTAGGCTACCAGGCACTTTCCACCCCAGCTGGCATCCCAGGTCTCTCCCAGACTACAGTTTCACCCTGAACCTGGCCAGCCCGCAGGCTTCGGTGGCTGCCCATGGACGGGCTGACCTGGCCTCTCACAGACCACAGCCCCCGGTGTCTGTGCTCTGGAAACAAGAGGACTTGCTGAAGTTTGCAAAGGGGCACCACCCACCGTCACAGGGCCCAACCCACCACCACCAGACTCTGCCTCTGGGTGATTCCCTCACACCTTCCAGGCTTGGGTCACTGGTGCCTATGCCCACGGGCACCCAAGAACATCCATCTATCAGATTTGACAACAGCAAAGCTGGTCCTCCCATCTAGCCACCAGTTCCCCAACACGGAGCCCAGGACCAGCAGAAGCTCCCATTCCAGGATCTGGGATAGGCTAAGGAGATGGCCCGAACTCGGCGGCTGGGAAGGTGCCCACGTGCTCAGAGTGCCCTCCAGGCCCAAGCAGAGAGGATCAACATGAGCTTGGCACCCTGGAGGCCAGGGGAGGAGATGACTGCCCCCCTTTCTCCAGGACAGCCCCTCCCAGTTTCAGCATACCTCACTCCCTCCATACCCAGAGGGGACCAAGACGCCCCAGTTCCTAGAAGCCCCTGGAGCCGGACGCTGGCACAGGGCACCCTGCGGGGTCTGGGCTCTGCTGATCCTCCACTCCTCGGGGGCCAGGAGTAGACGTTCCATCCTCAGCATCCCCACGGTCCTTGGCCTCCAACAGCCCTCGGCTTCAGCTCCCCATGCCCTTGGCAGCCTCCGGCACATGAGGGCTGGGTCTCAGGGTCTGCAACATCAGCTTCTCGCTGCTCTCCAACCAGCACGTGAGGGACCCCCTGCATCCACGTCAGCGTGGACATCAGAAGAGCGAAAAGGGCCAGAGTGCCCTGCTGATCCCCTCGGCCCCTCACTCGGACCTCTCTGGTCCAGACAGCACCCGAACGGCTTTGACGAGAAGCCCCCTCTGGGCCCTGCGGGCAGCAGGCCCCTCCCTGAGAGGAGGAGGAAGACTGCACAGCCTCCAGTGACCACGGGAGGAGACAGAGGCCGCCTCCGCATCCCTGGGGTGTTCTCTGGGATCCATGCTGTACGGGCTGGAACACAGGTCCAACAAAACAGCTCTGAGTCTAGGAGCTGAGAAGGACGGGTTCTCACCAGACAGCCTGTACCTGGTCCCGCTCACCCTGCAGTGACCTCTAACCCCTTGCCCCACACTGAGTCCTGTGTGGTCTGGTCCAGAACCCTCCCCGGTGCGCACCTCTCATCCCCGCCCCAGGCTCCCTACCGCCTTCCTCCCCCAGGGACCCGTCCGAGCTCGTCCCCACCCACAATGGACTCACCTCCAAGGCCGGGCTCAGAGCCTCAGGCTCCTGTGCAAGGACAGCCTTTGGGGCCAGATGGGCCTGAACTCAAACCCCCGGCGGGGCCACGCCACAGCCCGTGACAGGCCAGGTCGTGTGCTGACTCTCTGAGCCTCAGTGTCCTCCGCTGAAAACGGGATCAGTGACTCTGACCTGGGGAGCGGGTGATGGGGATTAAAGGGACAGGAAGACACCCAAAGTGCTTGGACTCAGGAGGTCCCTGTCTGGGGGAGCCCAGCACAGGGCCAGGTCTCAGCGTGCGCTCAGGCGACGTGAACAGCCATGATTCTGACCGCCCCAGTCAGGCTGGGCTTGGGCACTCAGACTTGAGGGACCTTGAGTGCTGGGACTGCTGCTCATCTCCAAAGTGGGGTGAAATCACTGAATGACCAGACGGCTCACTAGTAACAGTACCTGCCCCCCAACTCTCACCCACAGGGGTGCTGGGCGCCCTCCTCCATGGGCTCCCTCTGACCCTCGGACACCGGCCAGGCCTGCCTGCGGAGACAGGCTGGACCTCAGTCTTGGGGTGCTGTCAGAAGGACAAGCAACGTGGGCAGAGGACGAGGGGACG